ATGAAGTTCATTATTCTAATCCTGAAGATGAAACTTCCACCCAGACAAGGACATTTTCTCTCAGAAATGCATGCTTTTCCCTCCCAGAACTGGATCTTCTCCCCTTAATTAGAACATTGTCTCCCAGAAAAACCACATTTCTCCAATCCTATGACATTATCGCCCGGAAATACAGCCTTTCGACAAATCGATGCCATTTTCCACTAGAAGTGTCCCATTTCCCCCAAATACATGGCATTTTCTCCCCACAGAAGGACATTTCGTTTTTTCCTGAAAAACCATGATTCTCATAAAAAGATGACATTTTCAAAAAGAAATACAGGTTTTCTTAAATATACGTCCTGGTTTTTGGGTGGTATTCCGTTTCTACAAATATGAAGCCTGTGACGATAATGTATACACGGAAAAGCTTCTCTAATAAGACATTTCTTGTATTCTGGGATGAAAAAGAGAAAAATGGAGAGCACATCCTCGTAACGCAAATGAATATTCGCGAACCTGCAGATGTGGTGCTCTCACGGAGAACGTTATAGAAAGTCGAGAGCGATCGATACTTGCCTCCGGAACAAAAAGAACCTCTTCGGAGAAAAAGCATCAGGCTTATTTCGCACGTTCTCGGTATCGGAATTCTGCTATTTCGCTCTCGTGGCTCGAAAGCAGCACTGTCGCGCTGAACCACTTCGTTGAGTTTGCAGTTGCTGGCCGAGAAATCGCGTTTCTCCCGAATGCCGCTTTCAGCTTTCAGCAGCGGACTCGTCTGCTTCGGATGCCGAGAAAGAGCGACTTCAGCCGGGTGCTTTTCTCCGACGCACTCTTTCTTCTTCTGCGCACACAGCAAAGGAGCGGTTCTGATTTCTCCTTGTGTCCATGCATTCTGCACTACGCTTCTCTCTCATTCTTATGTCTTTCCCTTGATTCCTAGCAACATTTTATTTTGGTGCGCTTATCCGATGCTACACTTCAGAATTCTGTGACGAACAGAGTAGAAGGGAAAAGCCCCTCTAAACAGGCAGCTAGAAGTTCCAGGAGAGACACACGCTGTGCTTTCAGGGAGGACGTTACAGAAAGTCGAGAGCTGTGGATTCTTTCCTCCGGAGAAAAAAACCCTGTTTTCAGGCAATGCATACAGCTGAATTCGCACATTGTCGGCATCGCAATTTCGCTAATTCGCTCTCGTGGGTGGACAGCGTCACTCTCTGTTAACCGCTTCGGAGCGTTTGCAGTTGCTGGCCGGGAAATCGCGGTTCTCACCGAATGCCGCTTGCAGCCTTCAGCAGCGGTCTCGTCTCTCTCGCATGCCGAGGAAGAGCGACTTCAGCCGGATGCTTTTCATCAAGAAGAGGCTTCTTCTGCGCACATCGCAAAGGAGCGGTTCTGACTTCTCCTTGTGTCCATGCATTCTG